GGAGGCAGGCGGAGTCGTCGGCGACGAAAGTGAGTGCGCCGAGTCAGAACTCGCGGCCCATGACCAAACCACCGCCCGAAACCATGTTGATGAAGATTGAAGAAAACGCAGCCTCGCCGGAAGTCGCTAAGACGCTTTGCCCCACGGTGGGCACCAACTGTCGTGGTACTAAGTCTGACAGTAAGAATAGGGGGTATGTATGAGGAGGCAAGGTCCTAGCTATGGTGAGATTATACACAAGTGTTTACGAGTTCAGGCCCCTCTCGGAGGAGGTAAAAGCCCTACGTCTCGGTGCCGTGAGGCGGTCGACTGGAATATGAGTGTGTGTTACAGGGGGTGCGAACCCTTGTCCCAGAGGAGGGGGTGGATTATAGAGAGTGCGCCAGGACCCGGCCCACCTCCGTTACAGGGGTTCAATGTACATAAAGTCAGGGCGTTACTGATAACGCGAGCTATAAAGTGCTATTAATGACATTGAAGACTACGGAGTGAACGCCTGACCGTTGCTGTCCTGAGTGACTCCTGGTCTTCAATAGGCTGAGTGGTTCTTGTATGGTTGAGTGATATCAGGAGGGGGGTACCTGAGTGATATGCCTGGTCGAGTGGATTGCACTCGACGCCTGCAATTGGTACTCCATGTTATCTCTTGGGTGTCTTTGCTTCTAGGGTAGTGACCTTGGGTAGGGCATATAGGTCAGGCCTATGACCCTACCCTAGGTCTGTATCATCATCAGGGCCGTCCCCCCTTTCCTTCTCTCCTCCCCCTCCTTCCCCTTCTCCTTGTTGGAATAGGAAAGGGGGGCCCAAACCTACTTGGAGTAGGATTGCCCCCCCTTTGGCGCGCCTCCTCCCCTGGCTGGCCTCCTCCTCCCTCTCCTCCTTTATATACGGGGGAGGGGGCACCCCATAGACACACAAGTTGATCTTTAGCCGTGTGCGGTGCCCCCCTCCACAGTTTTCCACCTTGGTCATATCGTCGTAGTGCTTAGGCGAAGCCCTGCGCCGGTAACTTCATCATCACCGTCACCACACCATCATGCTGACAGAACTCTCCCTCGGCCTCAGCTGGATCTAGAGTTCGAGGGACGTCACCGAGCTGAATGTGTGCAGATCGCGGAGGTGCCGTGTGTTCGGTACTTGATTGGTTGGATCACGAAGATGTTCGACTACATCAACCGCGTCAACTAAACGCTTCTGCTTTCGGTCTACGAGGGTACGTGGACACACTCTCCCCTCGCGTAGCTATGCATCACCTAGATATATCTTGCGTGATCGTAGGAATTTTTTTGAAATTACCGCGGTCCCGACACATCGCCCTCATGTTTTAGGAGCAAACTCTGAACATATTGATTCATTTTCTTTTTAATTCTACGATTCACCCGCCTTATTCGGCTTTGTGTATCAATATCATGAGATTTTCCTCCAGATTTACAAGCCGAAGATGTATACGAAGGTATGGGACTGCAATCCGTACCTGAATCAACACCATCCTCGTCAGAATCGCTACCTGAACCTTTGTTGGGGAACGTAGTAATTTCAAAAAAAAATCCTACGCACACGCAAGATCATGGTGATGCATAGCAACGAGAGGGGAGAGTGTTGTCCATGTACCCTCGTAGACCGAAAGCGGAAGCGTTAGCATAACGCGGTTGATGTAGTCGTACGTCTTCACGGCCCGACCGATCAAGCACCGAAAGCACGGCACCTCCGAGTTCTTGCACACGTTCAGCTCGATGACGTCCCTCGAACTCCGATCCAGCCGAGTGTCGAGGGAGAGTTCCGTCAGCACGACGGCGTGGTGACGATGATAATGTTCTACCGATGCAGGGCTTCGCCTAAGCACCGCTACGATATTATCGAGGAGGACTATGGTGGAGGGGGGCACCGCACACGGCTAACAGATCAATGATCAATTGTTGTGTCTATGGGGTGCCCCCCTCCGTATATAAAGGGGGGAGGAGGAGAGGGTCAGCCAAGGGGAGAGGCACGCCCAAGGGGGGGCAATCCTACTCCAAGTAGGTTTGGCCCCCCCTTTCCTATTCCAAGTAGGAGAAGGGGGAAGGAGGAGGTGGAGAGAAGGAAGGAGAAGGGGGCCGCCACCCACTTCCCTTTCCCAATTCGGATTGGGGCAAGGGGGGCCGCGCGCCACCTCCTGGCCTCCCTCTCTCCTTTCCACTAAGGCCCATAAGGCCCAATAGCTTCCCGGGGGGGTGTCCGAACATAGTCGTCCAATATATCAATCTTCATGTCTCGACCATTTCGAGACTCCTCGTCATGTCCGTGATCACATCCGGTACTCCGAACAACCTTCGGTACATCAAAACACATAAACTCATAATATAACTGTCATCTAACTTTAAGCGTGCGGACCCTACGGGTTTGAGAACTATGTAGACATGACCAAGACACATCTCCGGTCAATAACCAATAGCGGAACCTGGATGCTCATATTGGATCCTACATATTCTACGAAGAACTTTATCGGTCAAACCGCATAACAACAGATGTTGTTCCCTTTGTCATCGGTATGTTACTTGTCCGAGATTCGATCGTCGGTATCTCAATACCTAGTTCAATCTCGTTACCGGCAAGTCTCTTTACTCGTTACATAATGCATCATCCCGTAACTAACACATTAGCTACATTGCTTGCAAGGCTTACAGTGATGTGCATTACCGAGAGGGCCCAGAGATACCTCTCCGACAATCGGAGTGACAAATCCTAATCTCGAAATACGTCAACTCAACAAGTACCTTTGGAGACACCTGTAGAGCACCTTTATAATCACCCAGTTACGTTGTGACGTTTGGTAGCACACAAAGTGTTCCTCCGGTAAGCGGGGGTTACATAATCTCATAGTCATAGGAACATGTATAAGTCATGGAGAAAGCAATAGCAACATACTAAATGATCAAGTGCTAAGCTAACGGAATGGGTCAAGTCAATCACATCATTCTACTAATGATGTGATCCCGTTAATCAAATCACAACTCATGTCTATGGTTAGGAAACTTAACCATCTTTGATTCACGAGCTAGTCAAGTAGAGGCATACTAGTGACACTATGTTTGTCTATGCATTCACACATGTATTATGTTTCCGGGTAATACAATTCTAGCATGAATAATAAACATTTATCATGATATGAGGAAATAAATAATAACTTTATTATTGCCTCTAGAGCATATTTCCTTCAATCTTCACTAGCCAGCCTCCAAAAGCGGTTGCTGGCTAGTGAAGGCTTCAGGCATCGTTTCCGGCGAGGCGTGCCGAGCGGCAGGGAGTCGGAGTTGGAGGAGCTGGAGCAAGTCTAGCGGAGTGGTGCGGCATCTGCACTGCCTCCTGCGGTGGCTGCTCCACTGGGTCTTCTCGAATCTCGATAGGCGCCATGGCCGAACCTGGGGCAGGAAGGGCCAGAACTCCCTCGCGAGATCTGAGTGTCGATTCCCTCATGGCCAGGGCGAGATGCACGGTCTCGAAGGAGGTGAAGGCCACCCACTTCCTTGCCACGGCCCTCACCGGCGAATCCGCCTGGTCCATCGCCCACAGCAGCACCTGGAGCGGATGCTTGCGTCCTCCACACTCGAAGAGCGACCTCTCCTCTGCCGCCGTCAGCCCCTCGACGATTGCCTCCGCCTCCGCATACATCGCCTTTTGGCTTGTGTACCATGATCCAATCTCTCAAAGGCGAGCACGTAGGCGTGCGTCCCTGCCTGCGAACCTCATCATCTTCTCCTCGTCGATCTCCACCATGGCTGCCACGGTCGCCGACGAGCAGAGGAGGAAACGAAGTGTGTGGAAGTGGAAGTGGAGGACAGGGAGAGTTTGGGGAGAGCTCACCAGAAGTATCGCCTGAATTTAATCCTCCACCCGCTGCGTTCCCTCTCCCACCAGCCGCAATTCCTCCCTCGCCGGCTCCCGAGGCGTCGCCCCCGCCCCGGGTCTCCCCCTCGATGCGTGCAACGTGACAGGGGAACACAATCGCACACAAGCCCTCCCTTGGACCGTGTGTCCACCATGCACCCCCGCTCGTCGATGAGATGTACCGTCGGGTTCACGCCCAGCACGACCTCACCACGGCAGTATCTGAGAGTCTTCGCCGTCCGGAGATCCGCGGCGAACCATGCCGGCCACCGCCGTGTGGCAAGTTCGCCCAGCGTTTCGTCAGAGAGACCTGTCTCTAACTAACTAATCCCCAAATGTAAAAAAACGCATAGTAAGAATAAGTTATTCTTCATCCGAGGTAATTTTACGATCATTTCATAAATAAGAAATACAAATAGTTACACTCATAGTGATTTAGTACATAAAATTTGGCATAAGAAAAGAAAAATATAGGTCATCATAAAACAAAAAAATAGCATTTTTTGTATATTTTACACTATATTTTTACATTTTTAATTTAGATAACATAAAATATTTTTTAATCTCTTTTACATCTGAAATAAGACAAAATTTACGGGACGTAAACTTACGGTGCATTTATGTTAAAATAAAGAGGGGTGAAGAATATCACCCAAGGTGACAAATATAAAGGCTGCCGTCACGAAGAGGCCATCGGTGGGCGCGTGACCAAGCCGTGACTCCAACATTATGTACGTGCACCGAAAGCCCAACGTACCAAGGATGCCAGGCTCGTCATCACGACAGCGAACTAGCTGAAAATCTTTCCAACTGAGAGCAGACACGTCCACAACTGATGTCACTTCGAAGCTCGCCAACAGTGTCATACAGAGTGTTTTCCCAAAATATACAAGAATGTACCCACCAGGATACAAGCCATGACTCCAAAATTACGTACTCCCAAAGCCTTCCCACTCCCACCAACCTAAAACTACAGTTCTTGCAGGCGACACGTCACACAAACCACAAAAGGCATCGATGAGACAGCTCTAGTTCGAGCAAGCCATCTGCAGCACAACCATAGGCAAAAGGCATGGAGACCCTACGTAGTTCTTGCCAGCAAGGGATCAGCAGACACGTACGTACACAAACATACATCAGCAGTAGAACATGAACTCCTTGACACTGTCTCTGATCTTGGGGAGCTGCCTCGCAGGCGCGGACCGGGCTGTGGCCGACGACGAGCCCCCGTCTGAGAACTCGTCCTCCATGTAGTAGCGCGCGCGGAAGGCCGCCAAGTGCGCGTAGTACGCCGGAGGAACTGTCACGGTAGCAATAACCAGAATCAGAAGCAAGTCAAAAGACATTGCTGATGTCTAAAATCATGAGCATCTGCCTTGCAAGCTGATACAGAGATTTGAAGACTAGGTTAAATGCCTACCTATAGAGACCGATCGCGTGCACCGGGCGTAGCTGCGAGCGAGGAACCGTCGGAGGAAAAAAGTTAGATAGTTAGATAACAGGGTACAACAGTATGCTGGTTATGCATCATTGATCATGGAGGAAACTGGCTTAGAGTGGCTTACGTGTAGCAAAGATTGTAGGTCAATGTTTGCAGGGCATCAGCACTGAAACGGTTTTCGTCGAGAAGAACGTGATAGTGTGTCGGGCGGCTTGTTCCCTGTCCAATGGAAAACAAAGAAGCTTCAGTTTCGAGACGAGTACCATGTCTTCATGAATGAGTGGACCCGAGCTGTCATAATAACGTTTAAAGTTAACCAAAGTAGTCATCAGTGTGACATGGTAGTTTTTTGGAACAGCAGAACAATTTTGTGGTAGTTTTTTTAAAAAGATTAAAAAAGCGGTAGTTTTTTGGAACGATTACCCGTAATGTGGTAGTTTTTTGCTATTCACTCCCCAGTTCAATAGAAATATTATGGGACTTCACAGAAATGTGGATCATGTAACATCACCTGAATGCCAGCATGGCTACAGAGGTAGAAATCAAACTCAGTAGGATGACATATCTTTGTGTCGACGACGGTACCTGAGGACAAAGCACACTCGATACTTTAATCTTGTTACCGGAACAGACTCGCACATTCAATCTACAAGATCATACCAATATTATGCTAACCAAGTAAACTTACCGGGTAGGATATTCCCACTTCTATCCGTCAGATCCCGCGCACGATGATTTTCAGGAAATAGGCGAGTGTGATGCCGCTTTTGCACAACAACAAATGTGACTGGCGGGAGGTAACCAGCCTGTAAAGTAGCACAAGCCTGGGAACAAGAAGAACATGGTGCAGCAAACAAATTACAAAACCATACAAGGCATGAAACAGAAAATAAAAGGCCAATGTAGCCTTATATAGAGAGGGTCAGAGGGATGAGAAGAACCTTGCGAATTGCATCCATTTCATAAAGCAACACTTGGCTGAACTGTCCCTCACTAACGCCATCTCTGCATATTAAATGATTCAGCACCATGAAAATTTAAACACATGTACATTACATACCTATGCATATTTGGATTCCAGAATTTTTTGGAATTTAAACTATGGTTCTTGAATTGTTCAAAATTCAGGCTCCATGGAGCCCGAGCTCTTAAGTGGATTTTCCTATTAAGCGGAGACTAGAATTGATTCTTGAAAAACAAAGACTGATTTACAAACCTATAAAATATAATTCTGTGAGGTTTACATCCAGTTGCTCTGTAGAATGAGAGAAGCAACTCCCTGCAAATTTTCAAAATTTAAAAGTTACTATTGCAAAGAGAAAACCAGACAAATACTTCCATATCTTGCATTACCTTATCATCCCACCGCCGACAAGCCCCTTCTGTGGATCTTTTATTTCTGCGTAAAGATCGGCAATAATTTCTTCCCTATGGGCTTGTGAAGAGACCAAGCATTTGTATTTTGTTACTTCTGGCCAATCCATAGATGCAACAACCTACGATGTGAGGAAGTAGAAGCCTTAGTTCAAAAACTACAAATTCTATGATGCATTCATACTACGGTGCCAAGACGGCAAACAGAAAAAGAGGATCTGTACTAGCCACACAAAGTAAAATGAAAATTAGATATGTAGTATGTTTCTTCCTTGAAGCACAAAAGTGAGAAAAACAAATAGAAACGGAAGTCGAGTGCTATTCATTAGTGCATCTGACTCTGACCGTCTCTTGTCAAATAAACAGACTGCAAATTAACAAACTGTGAGATGATGAGGGAGAGAGCAGAATGGCATACTGCTGCAATAGATGGACATGCATCTTCTCCAGCAGCTGGGTGGGTAACATCAGCTCCAAAAACTATAGTAGGCACGTCAGTCAGAAGGGGTATCCTCTTGTACAAAGCATCTTCAAGTACCGTATTCCGACCTCCAACCTAATCACAAAATAGCAACGGTCTCAGCATTCCGCAGGCCTGATTGTCAAGCAGCTAGCAGTTGATTCATACCTTAACATTGATCTTCAGAGAAAGATTTTCAAGGTATTGTTTCCCACCCTTCTGAACATTCTTGGGTAAGCAGCACTGAGTTATTACTCCAAGCTCGGTTTCACAGAGCCGTTTTATCTTTCCTGCATTAGATGGCAGAAATTTGGAATTAAAACTGATTTCTATTTTAAAATAGTCAGATATCAGCTCAGGGAATCAATTCATAGAGCATACCATAAGAACCACTAATATCAGGTAATATGATGATCAATAATTCAAGTTGCTTCCCTTCTAGACCTTGCTTAGTGAGCACTTCTGCAGAATGCCTATGGATATTTCTGATTGCAGACTCCACAGTGTCCTGACGGCGCGCTTGTGTGATATTCACGCATGGTTCCATGTTCATTACCTACAACAGGAAAATTTATTCAGTCAGTATATATGATGCTAGCGACAGAGGTTCATTCCAGAAGAAGAAAAGGTTACCATGCCAATGCTATTGCACATGTGAGCCAGATCACGGCAAAACATGCCAATGTCGTTTGGATGAAGTCGAGACGCGAAAGTTAGACATGCCCAATAGTTGATAGATCCACCATTCACCATTCTCTGGGAAAAACAACGAAATTAGAATTACTAAGACTGATGTAGAAAGCAAATGAAATAGACAAAAGATATAGAAACATCGCTACAAACAACCAGGCAAATTAAGTATATACAATCATTTGAATGCATGATATCATATATCAAGAAGTTTAGAGACTGACATAAATGTTCTCCACTTACATGTTAGTGCTAAATAACATGCAAGACAAAAGTGATATTGATAATACTAAACATAAACACTGAGCATAACAATGTTGCCGACAAATGAAATTTTATGTCACAAGGAAATAGGGTCTAGGGTATAATACCTTGTTTATCATGTTCCATTGTCCTACTGAAGGATTACATTCTTTTTCCCGTCCAGAGTCATGATATTTAAGCTAACAACAGGAGAAATATTGAAGAGGTCAAATAAATAAAAATGTATGTAAAAACAGCAAGGACATTTTCTTTAAAAAAGCAGTTACCCTTGGGGCAGGTAGTACACGAGCATCGACCAATGCAAGTTGGTTCATGACTTTCATGCCAAATTCTTTGGAATATTCATCATTGCCATAATTATTCCTATTAACAATCTGGGAAGATAAAAAGAAGGAATCAGATCATATATCCTCAAATCAAACGCATACAAATATGTTGATATAAGAGCAATGCAAAACTGTACACTTATGCTATGCTACAAATACCAACTGCGGAGTAAATGAGAAATAAGGGCTAATATTCACCTCTAGAACACTGCTCTCCCGTTGAGCTGGTCTTTCACATGCCATCTTTAGTATGCTTGAAACTTGGCGTTCATTCAACTTCCGAGAATATCTTTGCCCTCCAACAATGCTGCAAACCTGAAGAAATCATATGTACAAGCTATTGATTTAACTACAAAAACAAAAGTTAGCGAGTCACAAAAGAAGATCAGCCATAAGCACCTCCATAGGCAAATAGACCGGTCTGCTGTCACTGCCAGCCTGAAGGCATGGCCAATTGGTATATTTCAAAGTGTAATTGTATTGCTTCTTAAAGTACTGGACTACTGATACGCGCACACCATCTTGATCAAATCTGCAATAGCAAACAATCACAGGAAAATTGCAGTTGAGCTCATTTCTACCTACACAATAAATAATCACAATTCATTTAACAGTGTCATGAACTAAATAAATGAAAAGGTAAAGAAAGTGCATGAAGTAAACAAGGTATAAAAGTAAATAGATACATTAATTCCTTCAATGGAGCTGAGGATACACTAGTGATCTTGTAGCGTATGGTTTTATCCGTCCGATGAGTGGCCTCAACCCGGACACCTCTAAGGGCTTTCTTCAACTATATAAAGCAGAAAAGAAAAGGGAATGCAACAGTTAGTTCGGTAGACAGAAGAAAAATAGTAATTAATAAGAATGGCTGTGTGCATCACACTGATGCAGAGGCCGGGGGGTTTAACCTCCTTTTCAAAAAAGAGAGAAGAAAAAATAATAGTTAAGGAGAACAATAAGCCAGCATCACTCATACCTTAATGCGATCCTGATCAATCAAGGGCCTTGAAGCATCTCGGATATTCAGATATTCAAGAGCAAATTCCACCGCTGCTTGGGCCTTGTAAAATGCCGTTGCAGAAATATCTGAGAAGAAACAATCAAATGACAAAAATTAATGACAGTCTTTTTTCCAAGACACTATAAACTTTGGAACACAAGAGTTTTCAGGTCACAAGAACACATTTAGGCACAGCTGTACCAATATTTAGTGACAATCCCATCTGTGTGGGCCGAAGACTTTGGTAATAACCCCTCCAGCATTCGACACCGTTGCCAATCGCGCCACCATGTCCAAATGACTGAGAGAAGAACGATCTAGATATCGATACATACCTGTTTCAATTTAAAGAAGATGCAAACAAAATTTTGAATTACAAATATAAGAAATGAAAACAGGGTAACTCAGAGAATGAAAATTTTCTACTCCACATCAATAAAGTATTAATGGATTACTTTGTTGTGGGGCTCTCCCTTAGGGCGATGTCGAGAGCTTGGATAGTGTCCTGTGGAAGCTCCCTGCTTCTACCAGCCAAAAACTGCCGAACGCTGTACATATCCAGATTTGAAGCAAGCTTTACGGTCAGCTTGTATTCCTCCTCCCTACAACACAAGAACTAGTACTATGTAAAAACCATTACATGAACAAGCAGGTTTTGATCACAATAAGGAAAACTGAAATGTCTTCGTTCTACCGTTTATTCGCTTTCGCGGCATTAGCAAGTTTGACGACAAATACTTTGCTCTTGAATGGCAGTGCACCAGCAGTATATAGGCTCTTCCTTCCATCATAAACAGGCAGCCTACCGTCCAAGTGTTCCTTGTGCAATTTAACTAGTTCGTTGATTATTGATCTGTTCCATCCGCGAGACCTCGTTTCCAGATCAATTGCCACCTGCGCAAGAGGAAGATGGTTGTTATACTGAAAATTAACCATGAGCATGATGCGCCTGCAGAAACTATTCACCCACTTTTGAAGGTGAAAATTAACCATGATGATGTGCTTGCAGAAATCAAATTATTCACCCACTTTTGAAGGTGAAAATTAACCATGATGATGTGCTTGCAGAAATCAAATTATTCACCCACTTTCGAAGGTGAAAATTAACCATGATGAAGTGCTTGCAGAAATAAATTATTCACCCACTTTTGAAGGTGAAAATTAACCATGATGATGTGCTTGCAGAAATCAAATTATTCACCCACTTTTGAAGGTGAAAATTAACCATGATGATGTGCTTGTAAAAATCAAATTATTCACCCACTTTTGAAGGTGAAAATTAACCATGATGTTGTGCTTGTAAAAATCAAATTATTCACCCACTTTTGAAGGTGAAAATTAACCATGCATGTGCTTGCAGAAACTAAATTATTCACCCACTTTTGAAGGCGAACCTTAAAATTTGCATGAAACTTGTTACTATAAGTTGCCTGATTTTGGTATCTGTTTGTTTCTTTACTAACATTTGGATTGGCTTTGACATAAACATGTGAGTGGTTCTATTTTGATCCAAATCAACTTGATGGTTCAAAATACAGCTTATAACGAATTCAATTCACAAGATCATGTCAAAAAAAATGCACAAAGATACGCGCAAAATATTTACGAATATTATTTGCGAGAGTGAATATTTAGAACATCACCGAACGTAACGGGTTCAAACATACGTACATCGTAGTGGTAGATCTCCTTGTCGGCGACCTGCACGAGGAAATGGTTGGCGCGGACGCGGCACCTCCGCCCGATGGTCCCGAACCCCGGCCGCGCCGGGAACTTCTCCGCCTTGCTCGACACCGGCGGCAGATTCGCTGGCGCCGCCGGCACCCGAGGCTCCATGACGACCCTCCGCTGCTCCTCCGCCGCCACCGGAGCCGAGGACGACGACGACGGCCGCTCGCCTGCGGCCTTAGAGAGCACCATCATCCGCTCCACCTCGGCACCCAGCACCTCCACCGCCGCCGTCGGGGCCGCCACTGGCTGGCCGGCTCGGCCAGGTCCAGTGCCACCGTAACGCGGGTAGTGCTCCCCTACAGCGGCGACGCCACCCCTCCCGCCAGCTGCAGGCTGCGAGGGCGACGAGGTGTAGCCGCCTCGACCACCTCGGCCTCTCGCCGCGTCGTCGCGATGTCCACCGCGCTCGCCACCTCGGCCGCTCCCTCGGCCGCCCCCGCCGCGTCGGCCATGTGGCTCCTGTTCGCCGGCATGGCCGCGTCCGTGTCCTCCGCGGCCGCGCTCGCCACCGAGGTCCCCGCCCGGTCCCGTCCCTCGGCCGCCTCCACCACCACCACCCCGTCCGCGGCCACCCTCCTGCGCTCCGGAGGGCTCGCCGCCGCGGCCGTGGCCGCCGCGCCTGCCACCTCCACCGCCTCGCGCAGACATGGACAAGCTAGGTCGGTACCCTACCTATGGAGTTGACAGCGGCACAGGAGAGCGAAGCCTTTTGGAGGTGAAGCGGCTTGGGCGACGCTAGCTATATAGAAAGACGGAAAGATGGGCTCGCGGACGTATCGCTCATAAGAGAAATGCCAATGACATGCGGAGCCAGGCAGGCACGAGCCCGCGTGTCAGGGACTGGGAGCGGGGAGCGCCTCGGTACACGCGTGCAGCGGAGCCGGAGCGGTGCCATCGACGTACGGACCGGGGTCGTCGCATCGCATTCTCCTCCTCCTCCTCCTGCCTCTCGCGCTCGCGGAACCGGCGCACGTTCTCGCGCGGCCCCACCACGTCTAATCGCCATTAACGCACGCTGCGGCAGAGGCAATGATGAAGGATTATCGGGGCGCGTGGCGGCGCATCAAAATTTGGCCCGTGAACCGCTGCGCTGCGGTGGCCGAATCGATCGTGCTTTCTTCCTAGCACGCAGCCCACACCCCAAATCGTGCTAGCATTTTTTTTCCGGGGTAAAAGGAAGTGTTACAATCAAGAGGCCACAACTCTTCGATATAGGGTGGAACCGAGCGTACCCACACATCCGTGGTCCGCTCGGAGCGGCTATAACTGGTCAACCGATCTGCAACACAATTTTGGCTACGATGAATTTTTTGAGGTAAAAACTCCCTATTACTCATTAGTTCCTTTATCTCAAGGACTAAATGACCATAAGCTGATCTAATGAGACCATTGCTAGACAATGATGAAACTCCGCTTCCAAAGCATCGTTACAATGGAAGATGTAACGGTAAGCGGTGAACAACACTGCACCTGACTCATCTCGAAGAATCATCCTCGCTGCGGCAGACCCATCCGAGTCCCGAAATGACCCATCCACGGATAGGGCGACGGTGCCCGGCGCTGGTGCTGGCCACGGAGCGGGGTGGCGAGTCTCTGACTTACCAGGCCCAAGGTCGGACACACTCATCTTCCCTTTGATTATCTCGTCTGTACTAAAGCGTCCAGCGAGTTTGATAGACTTGTGATAGCTATCCAGGAAATCCACAGTGACGTCCACCGGTGGGCATTCCTTACCATGTGAAGCATCTGTCTTCAACTGCCAGATACGCCATATCAGCATGACCACCATATCCCGGACATCTTCTGAACACAAAGTAAGCAGATTCAATAACCACTCCTTGCCGGAGTTAACCAAGAAATCATCCGGCGGTAGGGGCCAACGGGATCTCATTCCCAACCATATATTGCGCGCGTGAGTGCAAGCAACTAAAGCATGGAAACCGTTCTCCTCCTCCACACCGCATAAAGGACATGTAGAGCGCTTAGATATGTATCTGTACCGTGTAGCTCCAGCTACACAAAACCACACTCTTTTGCAAAGTATTGTCGGCAGCGCTCCAGAAACCACTTTCTGAGCTGTAATCCGCATCTTCAGAGGCACCGATGACTTCTACACACTATTCCATATTGATCTCTTGTCGTTCGGTGCCAAAGAAGAAGCACCTCCCGCAAACGCTGTGTCATGATCACATGTAGCCAATTTGTAAGAACTCCTCACAGAAAATTGTCCAGTCTTCTCTGGATACCAAGAAATGAAATCACAGCGCTGCCTTGGATACATTCTGATTTTCAGGATAAAATCTATGTCCATCTGTCAAAAACTCTGCCTTAGTCGCTCCATCCGCCATGCACCATGCTCATCAAGGAAATCAGAAACACGGTTCAGGTGGGATGAACGTTTCGGCGTTATAGAGCGAAAAGAAGAGGCCCTCGGGATCCATGGATCCCTCCAGGTTCTGATCGAAGCACCGTCCCCTACCAGCCAAATAATACCCTTCTTTAGTAAATCCAGACCATGCAATATTCCTTTCCAAACTGCTGAGCCGCTATTGGAAAAAACCGTGTCTAGCAAATGCCCTGCAGGAAAATACTTTGCCTTCAACAATCTAGCACATAGGCTATTTGGTGTATCAATGAGTCATCAGGCCTGTTTAGCAAGCAGTGCCTGGTTAAAAGCCCTCATATCTCTGAAGCCCATGCCTCCGATAGCTTTAGGTAATCTCATCTTGTCCCAACTGAGCCATGCCATCTTACTCTTCCCTTTCTCAATGCCCCACCAGTACTGACGCATCAAGCGGGTTAACTCATCACAAACAGAAGCTGGGAGCTTAAACACACTCATCACATAAGCTGGAATAGCCTGAGCAACTGACTTAATTAGGATCTCTTTATTGCCTGAAGACATGTATTGCTCACTCCAGTCAACCAATCTCTTCCTTAATCTTTCTTGAACTGTTTCAAATTTACCTTTATGCATTCTACCTTCCGGCACAGGCAAGCCTAGGTGCTTAGGCTCAAAAACCTCCTGCGTAATCTCCAACACTCTCTTTACCTCGGATGCAACCGTAGGCAAGCAATGATCTAAGAATAGGATGGAACACTTCGAGGGATTAATCAAATGGCCCCTGCCGCTGCAAAAGTGCTCAACAAACCTTTCACCAGATGTGCCTGCTGTTCTGAAGCTTGGAAGAACAAGAGTGAATCATCTGCAAACAACAGATGAGAAATCTCTAGAGCAGATCTACATATTTTTATCCCTTTCAGACCGTCCTCTGCCATAGATTTATTGATCAAAGCTTAAAGTGCATCGGCAATGAAGAGGAAAGGAAAGGGGGATAATGGGTCACCTTGTCGTAAACTCTGGATGGAGTAAAGGACTCCAAAATTTTACCATTGAACTTCACTGAATACTGACCGAAGAGACACATGCCATTACTCGTGAGACCCAAGTCTGTGAGAAGCCCCACTTTAGAAGAGCCCTCTCCAAAAATATCCAATCTACTCTGCATACGCTTTGGAGAGATCGAGCTTGTAAGCACACAGGGCAGGAGAGTTTTCCTTTAATGACTGAATATAATGAATACATTCGAAAGCAATTATCGAATTATCAGTAATAAGCCTACCCGGTACAAAGGCACTTTGATTATCAGAAATAAGATCCCCTAGGATGGGTCTCAATCTGTTCACCATGCATTTGGAAACAATTTTATAAACCACATTGCACATACTAATTGGTCAAAAATCCTTTAGTTCGAGGGGATGAGGAACTTTAGGAATCAACAAAATTGTCGTGTCATTCACGCCATCCGGCATAATTCCGTTATCAAAAGATTCCTGGACTGCCGAAATAATATATGTCCATAGCACCCCCCCCCCAATTCCGCTGATAAAAGCGAGCTAGTAGACCATCAACCCCCGGAGCCTTAAGGGGCCCTATTTGGAATAGCGCATCAGATATTTCCTTCTCCGAGAACGGCGCACTCAAAGATTCATTCATCACTGGGGTAACTTTGGGAGTAATACAATCCAGCACCACATCAGGATTAAGTGTTGGATCCTTTGTGTAAACTTCCTTGAAATATGAACTCGCCATCCTTTCCATCTTGGACGGCACAGTGCATCAAGTTTCATTATTCGTCCGTAGACGTTGAATATGATTTCGTCTCGCTCTCCACATTGCTCGACGGTGGAGGAACTTGGAGTTTCGCTCACCCTCCTTGAGCCACGTAATACGCGCCCGTTGGAGCCACATCATCTCCTCTCTATAAAGGAGTTCATCAAGCTGGTTCATCTTGCTACGAATAAGATCCCGATCCGCCCCTGCTAGCTGAAGGTCATCTAGTTGGCTTCTTAGGGTTTCAATATCCTTTAATACATTGCCGAAATTTGCAGAACTCCATGATTTCAAATCCTTCATAAGCTGTTTCAGGGACAACACTACCGAACCTAGACCACCGGCAGGCTTGTTCTTTGCCCATGAGTTCGCCACCACCTCAGGTAGACCCGGATGGTGTTCCCACATAATTTCATATCGCACTGACCGACCTTGCTGCTTGATCCTCTGACCTACATCCAACTGAACAAGAAGAGGGCTATGATCAGAACAAGGAGAGACCAAGTGACTCACTTTGGTTGCTGGGAAAAGATTACGCCAGGCCTCGTCTGCGCACGCGCGGTCTAGCCTCACTTGAACATTCATGTCACCTTCCTGCCCATTATTGTATGTGTATGGAAACCCGGTGAAGCCCAAGTCCTCAAGTTCAGACAACAAGCAGTCCCTAAAGGCTAACATTTGTGATCGCAGGGTCCTGGAGAGATGCTCATGCTGCCACATAGCTTCGTTGTAATCTCCACATACCACCCACGGATCCTGCGAGATAGCTCGAAGCCTAGTCAAATGATCCCACATAGATTGCCGGTTTTCGACCCTAGGCTCGCCATACACGAACATTCCTCTCCACGAGTTTCCTCCACCCACATCATCAACGTGCACATCAATATACTGATAGCAAGCGTCCAAAACTGTCACCTTGAGAGATTCATCCCAAAACAGAGCCAAACCACCGCTCCTACCATTTGCTATTTACATTGTGAAAACCTTTTAGACCTAGTCTCCACTTGAGCTTCTCCATTTTAACCACATCTTGCCTAGTCTCACTTAAGAAGACTAGTTTGGGGATATTGGCTTTGGT